GAGCTTGCCAAAATCCCCTTTCACACCACTCCACTCACAACTTGCTCTGGAGCAGCAGCTCTGCTGCATAAAGGAGCCTGTTTCAACTTTAGATGGAGCCTGGAAGGACTCCGTAGCCCTAGGGTTTTGAGAAGCCTGCTCCCTCCAACCCCAGGACTAAGGCCTTTCCATAAAAAAACATAGCATAAATATGCAACACTCCTTTCTGTCACTGACAAGGACAAGTCAGGACAGGGATCTCCTCTAGCTGGGCACAGCACAGACAGCAGAACACAGAGGAACATCCCTAAGAAGTCAAGTGATGCTGCTCAGCATTTCTCAGCCCATGCTGTGCAGACTGTATAATGCCAGGAGGTGGTTTGTGACCAGCCCAGCACATCTGCATGTGGCAGAGGTCTGGAAACAAGCAAAATAGGGATGAGGCAATTAAGCTGCAGTCCATTTGGATTTGCTTTGTCAAAGAGGAACATCATCGGCTTCTGTGCTGGTTACCTAGAGACCTGGGGAATCCTCTAGTTTACCCTCAAGGGGTGAGAAAGGCTATTCCAGATGAAGAGACTTTCAGTTTCCTGCCTCCCTTGCTCCCTATCCAAGTTGGCAGCCTTTGCATAATGCTGAAAGCAGTAGAAAAGATGACAGTGGGTTGTCCTGCTTCTTTAACTTTATTGCAACATGGGCTGGAATGAAGGCAAAAGAGCAACAGAGCTGCCTTGCTGTGGCTGCCTGGGAGGCACAGGGAGCTCACTTACAAGCTTGCAGCACACAGAGCTCATCTTTCCAAACCTGGAGCACCATATGTTCATGTAGGAACACACACCAAGAGGTGGCCATGGAAATAGAGGCTTCAGCTCTCCTTTAATGGGGTACCACGTTTCCACACACATGCCTGAGTGGGTGGCCTCGCAGATGGCAGTGCTGGGCAGTGGTAGCTCAAGCCTTTCCTTTTGTGCTTTCCAAGGGAAAAACATTCTGGTGTGGTGGGCAGGAAGGAAAAGCAGGATTGCTGGGGCACTCCAGGTCTAGAAAAGGTGGCACTGTGGTACTGCAGAGTCTGGGGGCTCTACAAAGAGAGCTACAAAGAGTTTGGTGGGGGAAAACTGCCAGGCCTTTCCCATGTCATCAAGTTGCAGATGTGAAGTCCAAGCTCAAGAAGGCCACAAGCACATCCTTGCTGACCATCTCACTCTGCCTGGGTAACTTGCCCCATGCAGGGGCTGCATTTGGGGCACTGCTCCCTACCGATGACACCCAGCTCCCCAGGGCTGAGCTAACTACAAGGCACAGGAGAGACTGAGAGGATGAATCCTATTAGCAGGGAGCAGAACTGGAGCATTATCAGATTACAAGTCAAAAGCAGAGCATATACCAAGCTCCCATTTACAGGAGCATCTATGGCAGCTCATCACACGAGAGCACAACCGAGACTCAAGTGTCACCATTGCTGGGCGGCATCGCCAGGGCTTGTGAGGGCAAAGCCAGTCCCTGCACTAGGCTGCAGCATGGAGGGGCTCTACAGGGTGGCACAGAGGCAGGAAAGCTGCTGTGGTACAGAGATGCTTCCAGCTTTATGAAGACATACATTGCTTTTCAGGGAGGGTACAGTAGGATCCTCAAGCACACGAGTCTAGGAGCCATCCTGCCCTGCAGGGACGTGTCCTCGAGGTCACTCACCTCAGAGCATTGCAACACAGACACTCTCAAGCCTTACATTACTGCACAGGACCAGGAGGCCAGAAAGGCCACAGCAGGACTTACCACTATGGCAGGTCAGCCCCACCAGAGGCTTGTGCTTTCTCCATTGCTTCTCAAAGGTCACCGCTTCTTCCACAGACTGCTGTTTTAAAAGCAGTTATCACACACACAGCATAAGGAGACAAATAAATCCTCTAAATTTGCAGCCAAATGCTAAAGCATTACAGAGCAGTGAGCAGGAAATCCAGGGCAGGGCCTGTCTAGAGACATCCACCTGCACTCCTGCTCCCCAAGACATTAGGTGAGACCTCACTTTAACCTGGTCCTTTTCTATCTCATTCACAGCTGAAACCTCTGAGGATTAACCAGTCTAGGGGGATTTGCATCACCTGGAAATGATTCCTGACATGTCATCTCCTCCTAGGCTGCCTTCAGCTGCAGCCCCAACTTTATTCAGCCCTAAAAAAACACCCTCCTCAGCCAAACCCCACACAGGAGCTGGATGTTCATTTACTAGTTTCCATTTCCTTCCTCTGTGGCTCTTTCTAGCCTTTGGATCCCAGGATTTTCACATGTATCTATCATACGCACACGAGTGCGCGTGGTCCTGGTGTGCAGGTCCCCAGGCGCCGGGGAGAGCCTGGGTGCTCTGATGCTTGCACAGGGGTTGTCTCAAGGAATATTTTACTTCCATGCTCTTTCCACCTTCTCTTGCTACCCCCAGCAAAGCAAGAGCCAGGAGGCAGTTTGCAGATCTGTGTGAATTTGAGGTCAGAACTTTGTTCTTGGATAAAAGCCCTAAAAAAAAAAAAGATAGAAAGGAAAGACTCCCAAAACAATCCTATGGAAAAGCAGAGTGGGAGAAAGAGAAGGAGAAAGGAACAAGCCTGGGAAGTCAGTGCGGCGCTTTCCCGGGCTCCCTGGGACAAGGGGCTCTTTGTTTCTCAGACGGAGCTGGGAACGGGCCCTTTGCAATCTCCCTCCCTGGGAAAGGGGCCAGGGCAAAGCAGGCACCAGAAGGGCTGCGAGAGCCCCGGGGCTGCAGTTAATAACCCTGTCTGTATTTGGGGAATTCGTGCGCTTTTCATCAATAAGCGGGGACACGTTAAAGGTGCATCCTCCTACCTGGCATGAGGGATGCTGTGCAGTACCTGGCCCTAGGAGAGTGAATGAGCAGACTCGCGTTGCCCTAATGCAGGAGGTTTGAAACCCATAAATGCCATTCAGATGCTAATTTATAACTTATTTGATAAAACGCATCAAAGCACCCAGGCCACTTGTGGCAACACAGGCCAGGGAACCTCCACGTTCCCCCGCCAGCAGCGGTGCTAATGCAGGATGCTCCTGGGGCTTGTAAATCCAAAGGGAATCCCGGCTGCAGATTCAAAGAGAAAAGCAGTCCAAGGGAGAAGAGAATCCAATTCCCTTTATGCTTATTAGAAAATGAGGCAGAAAAAGGAGAAAAGTCTTTCGCACATGTCAAAAAGAGATACTCTGGGCAACTGAAATAATGGGATTTTTTTAACGTTGTTTCCCCCTCCTGGAAAAGCGGGCTTTTGCATCATGCCTGCCCTGCGTGGTCCTGGCAGGCAGGCAGCAGTGGGGACAGTGGCATCCCAAAACCACAGCTGGGCATCTCTGTTTGGGCACCACCAATAAGAGGCCTGATGACTCTGGGATGGATTTGGGAACGGATGCACTCGGGAAGCGGCGGGAGGGAGCTGCATTCTCCACTCTGCCCCTTCCTGCAGCCTGGTGTCCAGGTGGGAAAAAGCAGCCACCCGACCCCTGCCCATGTTCCCGCATGGAAAAATCCCCGTGGGCGGCCGGGTGCCCCTCGGCCCTGCGAGGCTGTGGGAACTGGCTTCCCTTGGCCTTATTATTACTACTGCTAATAGCAATAACAATTGTTAGGGCCAGAATGGCAGGGGAGACAGAGCGAGGCTTTGTTAAAATAAATAAATTAAAGGCAAAGGCCTCCTGCGCGTTTCCGCAGCAACCACGACGTCACACAGGGCGTCTGGGCTGCGGGGCCTTTTATTTTTTCCCTTTTTGTCCTGCTGATAATTATTAAAAAGGAAAGGAAAGCGAAGGGGAGCTGGGGACGGTCGCCTGGCAACGCTAGGAGAGCAATGTCCTCCAGCGGGAGGGATATTGTTCCCAGGAATGCGCCCGTCCCAGCCTCTGAACAGTCTCCAGGTCCCTGATGCCCCAAGAGGGAGCCTGGCCCTAGGGCTGAGTGATGTCCCGCTGCAGCTGGATGGATCCTTGTTTAGGAGGGTATAAAGTCCCCAGGGCCTGGAGGAGCACCCTGGCCTAATGGGGGTCCTGGGGATGCAAGGTGATACCTGGCACATGGGATGCTGTGTAATACTCGGTACAAGGGATGCTGTGTAGTACCCAGCATGAGGGGATGCTGTGTAATACCCAGCACGAGGGGATGCTCTGCAGGATCTGACACGAGGGATGCTGTGCGGTATCCAGCACATAGGATGCTGTATGGTACCCAGCACATGGGATGCTGTGCGGTACCTGGAATGAGGGATGCTGCAAAAGGCAGCAAATGTGAACAGCCTTTGGTGGGTGCAACCCCAAATTTAAGTACTGCCAGACTAAAAAACAAGCAACTGCCTTAAAACTGTGCTGTATTTCCCAGGATGAGCAGCTTTGTGGAGCTGCGGCAGGTTTGCAACCCATCCGGCTCGAATTTTGCCAGTGATATCCCCTTCCTTGGCAGGGCAGAGAGACCAGGACCCTCCTGATCTCACTCTTGGCTAAGCGGGTTTGCAGTGGAGGCGTCAGCCTGGCTGGGGACGGCATCTCCTCCGGGCTGTCACTGCCGCCTGCTGGGGATGGCCTTGCATGTTCATAACTCCCCTAGCCCCTTTCTGGTACCTGGGCTATGAAACAGTGCCACAGCGAGGTCCGAACCACCTGTGGGAGCCCTCTTTACCCTGTGTGCATCTGGGCTGCTGAGAGCACAGGAACTGCCTGCTGGCAGCTGCTGGTGTCACCACTGGCTAGTGCTGACCCCATGGCAAGTCTGACCCATCCTGGTGTCCTCGCTCCCACTGCCGGGCTGCTCCACCTTCTCAGCCCAATAGATTGAGACTTTTCTCTCCAGAAAATGCTTCTGCCCTTGACCAAATGGAACGTACCACAGCTTTTGCATGCATCCTGCCTGCTGCAGTCGCGTCCGCTGCTCCCGCTGCACCAGGCAGCGCCAGCTCCTTCCCTCGCTCCCAGCAGTGCCCATGCAGTGTCCACGCAGGAGCGTTTTCCCCCAAACCCTCTTTCTCTTGAGGCAGGTTCATGAACCACCGCGTCCCGTCCAACCGGCGGTACCAGCCCACGGAGTACGAGCACGCGGCCAACTGCGCCACCCACGCAGTGAGTGCCGGTCCCGCTGTGGGGGGACGAGGGCCGTGCAGGGGGCTCGGGGACGCGGAGCAGGGCGCGAGGGCCGGCGTGGTGCTCCTGGGAACGCGCTCGGGACCTGTCCTGGGATGCTGAGCTCCTTCCCATGCTCCTCCCAACTAGGGGAAGCCCCCGTCACACTCTATCCCCAGCCTTTACCAGGATGGCTTCAGCCCCAAGTGAAACCCTCTCCGAAACGGAAAGGCAGGGAGCAGATTGTGCCGTTGGGTGGGTGCACACAAGCGACAGGAGAGCTTCTCCCTTCCAGTTCTGGATCCTGCCCAGCATCCTCGGCAGCTCCATCCTCTATGTCCTCTCCGACGACCTCTGGGAAACCATCTCGGCCTGGATCTATGGTTCGGCTTGTCCAGCCTCTTCATTGTCTCCACCATCTTTCACACCATCTCCTGGAAGAAGAGGCACCTCAGGTAGCCTGGCTGCTAAAAACTAAAAAAAAAAAAAAATCAGTGAAATATTTCTGCCAAAATAATTGAGGATCTGAATCCCTGGTGCTGTGGGGTAATGCTTAGTCCTTCCCCTGCCAAAGACAGGAGTCAAAGTCCCCAGGGCCATTTGCAGCAGCAAGGAGACCATGGAGTGACTGGAGCTGACATGAGCTGTGTCTCACACCAGCCCTAGCCTAGGAGGACAGCGCGGGAAGCGGGGTTTGGTGCCCTCGGCATCGCCTGCAGCAACCCCATGGCCAGAGCATAGCCTCGTGTTCCCCACCCCACGTCACCAGGGCTGGGCAAGCTGGCCCCGCAGCTCCCTAACGTGCATCCGTGTGTCCGTCCCGCAGGACGGTGGAGCACTGCTTGCACATGTTCGACAGGATGGTCATCTACTTCTTCATAGCGGCCTCCTACGCGCCCTGGTGAGTGCCCGGGGACAGGCACGGGGATGGGGCTGTGCTGCAGCCGCGGGTGCTTCCCCAGCGCGTTGGGCTGCTTGCGTCTCTGCTCTGGGGTGAGGGCAGTGTCCCCTGCCCTGCATCACTGGTCCCCCCGCACCACCTCACCGCACACCCGGGTTCTGCAGGCTGAACCTGCGTGAGCTGGGGCCTTGGGCGTCCCACATGCGCTGGATCATCTGGATCATGGCCTCGGGTGGCACCGTCTACGTCTTCTTCTTCCATGAGCGGTGAGTGTCTTCCCGTGGTCTCGTTGCGTTGTCCCGGGCAACTCTTCTGGCCTCTCCTAGTGTCCTAATGTAGCAAGAAAGAGCAAGAAAGATGAGATAGATGGATGGGTAGATAGGTCTGAGGTCTCCTGGCAGTGTCCTGAAGAGCAGGCAGTCCAGGGCTTCCTTGCACCATGGCCTTGCACATCTGCATCCTGCTCGTCAGACTGAGGACGGTGAGGCCACAGCTCTAGTGACTGGGGTGTGGGAAGAGGACACTGCTGCTGTGAGGTGGTTCTTCCACGGGGTGGCACCAAATAGACAGAAAAAGGCCCCAAATATCTTCCCCAAGTGCGTCAAAGCACCTCGGAGAAGAGCCTGGGGGCCATGGGGTTTGATTCTTGCCTATGGGATGTGCTCCAAGCTGCTGGTCTCTCTCCATCGCAGGTACAAGCTGGTGGAGCTGGTGTGCTACGTTATCATGGGATTCTTCCCTGCCTTGGTCATTCTGTCCATGGTAAGTCACCCCCAGCCTGGGAAGCACCTGGGCTCTCTGCTTCGGTCCGTAACACCTGAAGAGCAAGTCTCCGTTGGGCTGATGTGTCTCTGGCTGCTTGCGGGCTGGTGTGGTTCAGCCCAGAGGCAGCTGCATGATGGGTGAAGCGATGCCCAGCAGCCTGGCTCTCTTCAGCATGTGTTTTGGGTGCCCATCAGACATCCATGTGTGTCACCAGGCTTCTCTGGTGGACCTACTGCCTGGATGCCCTTGTGTTGAAAAGGTCCCAGCAAAGCCGTGCTGCTGAGCCACACGCTGCCTTGCTGAAGGAGAGGGTGCAGGAGACAGGAAGCCAAGGGGTCTGCTCACCTCTCTCTGTTGTCACTGCTCTTCGGTCTTGCCCGTGCTGCAGGGACAGGGCAGGAGCGAAGGGGCAGGTCGTGTGGCTCGCGCTGATGCCTCCGTGCTTGCTCTCAGCCCAACAGAGACGGTCTCCTGGAGCTGGTGGCTGGCGGGCTCTTCTACTGCCTGGGCATGGTCTTCTTCAAAAGCGATGGCCGCATCCCCTTCGCCCACGCCATCTGGCACCTCTTCGTGGCCATCGGAGCTGGTATCCATTACTATGCCATTTGGAGGTATCTCTACCGGCCTGACGTGCTGGAGGACAAAACGTCCCGAAAGAGGCCTTAAAGACCACGGCTGTGCCAGCCGGCATGTCGGGGACCAAGGGGGAGCAGGGGCTTGGACCATGGACTTGCCACGGAGCCCCCATCACCTGCTCTGCGCACAAGCAGACGCCTCTCGTGCCCTTCCTGCCCAGAGAGAAGAGCCTGAGGGTTGATTTTAAACAGATTTCTTTATTTCTTTTTTCTTTTTCTTTTTTTAACCTTGGGAACTGTCTATTTTTGTAGGCAAAGGTTTTGTAACATGATGACCAACCAAGGGCCTGCAGGGCCTCAGGGAGCTTCATCCCCAGATCTTTGTCCATCCAGCTGTCCCCAAGTATCCCATGCGAGCTGGTGGCTCTGCACATCTGACTAGGACCATCCTGGGTTTGGCTACCGGGGCCCTCAGCTTGGACCACACAAGAACCTTGGCCCGGTGCCATGGAACGAGGTGCGTAGGTATGTGAGGTGGGTGACAAGGGATTTGGGGCCCAAGGCTGTGGTGGCCGTCCCAGAGAGACCTCCACCCAGGCAGGGGTGGACATGGCTGACGCTATACCGGACAGGACCTGATCTCTGGCACGCTGCGTGCTGGAAGATCCTGCTGCTTCTACAGGGGCCACAGATGGAAACCAGTCTTGGCCTTGGCTGGGATGTCAGCACGGCCGTGTCTGGGGCTGGTTTGCAGCCAGCAGAGCAAGTAGAGCCAGGTCTAGGGAAGGGGAGCTCGTGGGGCTGGAAAGACCAGGCAGGGAGAAGCCAAAAGTGTCTCCTGGTTAGGACATGAGAGATCTGGTTTAGGGCTCTCCTGTCACCTTGTTTCCCAGCTCCCTCTTGCACATCTCACCAGCTGCTGTCTGGGAACCCTGCATTTTCCTCCCGTGATTTCCAGCAGTTGCCCAGAGTTTGCTCCTAAAAGCTCATATGAGATTTATGAGTTCCTTCGACTCGAAGGTCTGGAGTCAACAACACCTTACATGTGACTGAAACTGGACCCCCTTCCAGGTCTCCCCTGAGGCCCATGGCACTGCAGGCCCTTTGTGAAAGGCAGTATTTAGTGCTCAATGTGACACGTCACTCCTGGACAGGCGCTCAGAGCCCGGCCAACACGTTCTCCATGAAGCAGCGGCCCATGAGCAAGGTCCCTGTTCGCAGCATCTGCCATGCGCTTCTGCCCAGCGGGTAGGAGAGGGCATCCAGCTGGCTGGATTCACTCCATCCAGATTTTTTTTTTGGTATAAACCTCTTTTATTTTGTGCAAAACCTTTTTTTTTTTTTTTCCTCAAACAAACCTCTCTAAATCAGGATTATGGGGCTGTCCGCCTTATCCTTTCTCATTTGGTAGTTCTCTGGTCTCTGGCTGACCACTAGATTAAATCCTCCTGGCCTGGGAGGATTCCTGCCTTTCGCAGGACTGACGCAAGGAAAGGACTCATCCACAAGATGCTTGTGGATGAGCAGTGAAGGCAAAGATGACCAGGAAATCTTTTTTTTTTTAACCAAGACAAGACACCTAATTGCTCAGGGTAGGAAGGAAGCAGCTGCAGTGGGTGGATATAAATGGGGGGCCCACAGACAGGAGGAAGGACAAGCGAATTCAAGGCAGCTACTGGTTTCCAAAAACGCTGCAGCAGGAGCAGGTCCCCTTGGCAGGAGGGTTTTTCTGCTGACAGGGAAGAAGGAAACAGCCACCAGGGAGAGATCCAGGAGCGCCGAGTGGCTCCCCGTGCTCCAGAGGAGCAGGACGGCTCTGCGAATGGCTCTCTGCCACGGCGGGGTTTTCCAGGGCAGGATCGGAGGACACAGGCTGCTTTCATCTGCATTTGGCCTGGATGGGGCCACAGGCTGGTTTTGCTCAATCTGCTCCTCTCTCGCCTGATGCTCTGCCAAGCCAAGCTCTGTGCACTGGGAAAATGAGGTGCCATCCGCTGCCAGGCTGGAATGCTGCTCCTGTGCTGCCAGATCCCCCTGCAGTCCCAAAGCTCCTTGGATTGCAAGCCCTGGCGCAGGCTCTTCTCTGGGATCGGGCTCTTTGGGCGATGCATTGCTGTGTCTTCCTGGCAGGAGGGCTGGGAGCAAGCTGAAAGCAGAGATGTGCATCCCTGGAGTCCTAAGCACTTGGCACCAGCCTTCATTTTAACTGTGCGAAAAGGGAGTCACGGCTCCTGCTGAGATGGAAACATCTCCCACCCTCCTGTGCTGCAGGAAATCTCCTCTCCAGCTCCTTCCCGCTGCCCAGGTTTCCAGGACGAGCATGGAACACTGCAGGTCTGGTGATGGGTCTGGAGCAGAGCAGGGTGCACTGTGCGAGGTGGATGTCACCCTCCAGGATCCAGTTCTTGCTTCTTTGCCTACTGGTCTGAGAGGATGAGGAAGCTGTGAAGTGACAGGCAGCTGCTGGAGCAAATCTGGGGCTGGACCCACACCCTGAGCTGCCACTTTTGCTACCGAATTGCTCTCCGGCAAGTCGGGACCCTCTCTGTGCCTCAGCTTCCCTGCTTGTGAAATGGGGGCAAAGCTGCTTTGAGAAGCAGCTGCAGGAACCAGATCTGCCAGGAGGTTTGGGACCATCGCTACCCTGCTCTGAAATCCATCCGTTTTGCAGAGACCCTCGATGTGCTGAGTGGAGGTCCCTGCTGCTGATCCGTTCTCCGTCTTCTCTTGCTTTATGAGTCTTCTTCTTGGAAAGCATGGGGGGGAGGGGACACGAAAGGGGAACACTACTTGACTGTCATCCCATTTTATACTAATTTTAAATGAACTGTAACATTCAGGATGGCTGTGAGTGAGGATTCGAGTGATGCTCTGAGCATCCTGTACCTTCCACCTTCCATTCTTGTTTGGTCAGTGCTTTATATTTAACACAGTATTTGGGGAGAAATGTTTCCTGTGGAGTAAGAAAGAAATAAAACCTTGAGATACCTCACTGCTGCCTGCTGGTCAAGGCAAAATGAGTTTTCTTGAAGGACCTGCAAAGAAACCCAAGCCCATTTGCTACCTGGCATCGTTCAAAGAACAAAAGAGCAGGGAACTATTGCCAGGCAGAGCCGGTCCTGGCGGCTCGACAGGGAAGGAGAAGCCGGCATGGCCAGAGGAGCTGGCAGCTGTGGGGAAATTTGGGCTGACTGGAGGGGAGCGATGGAGGGAACAGAGCCTTGCTGAGGTCTGGGGGGGTCTCTAAGCCAAGGGTTTTCCTTGAGGAAAACCAGAACTTGCTGAGTTTGCTGCCTCCAGCCATCCTGTTTGAGCTGAAAGGTCTCAAGCTCTTCGCCAAAGCAGTTTTGGCTCCTGCCCTGGCCTGTCCTTTCTGTCCTTGCAGTGCCTGAGCCTGTGTTTGATAGAAACACAGACCCGAAAGGCACCATGCACAGATAAACCCCTGTCCATCATCTCCCCTGGCCTCTCCTAGAGCTGCCAGCTCCTCCTGAGCAAACAAGATTTGGCCCCATGCAAGGAGTCTGCCAGACAGTGGCTGCCTCCTCTGGGACATGCCCCAGGCTGTGCACGTCCACTGCCTGCCCTCCTGCTTGCACCTCTCCCCTCACTGTCTCGCTCTGTCATCATGATCCTCCTGGCACTGGGTGGCATCTCCAGACACCTAGGGAGGTTCCCTGTCTGCGAGGAGAGCCGCTGAATTCATCCCGAAACCTGATCTGTCACTTCCCCGTCTCCTGTGGCTTCTCCCCGTCAGGTCTGGTAGCGGGGTGGGATGTCATCCTGCCAGGCTGGGACACATCCCGCCTGGGCTTTGCTATCACCTTCCGATTCCCAAAGGGTCGTGAGGTGCCAAGTGCATCACGGGGTGGTTTGTCACCCACAAGGGTGACAGCGACAGGTCATCCCGAAACCTGATCTGTCACTTCCCCGTCTCCTGTGGCTTCTCCCCGTCAGGTCTGGTAGCGGGGTGGGATGTCATCCTGCCAGGCTGGGACACATCCCGCCTGGGCTTTGCTATCACCTTCCGATTCCCAAAGGGTCGTGAGGTGCCAAGTGCATCACGGGGTGGTTTGTCACCCACAAGGGTGACAGCGACAGGGGGGGATTCTCACCCCAAACGCACCCCGAGCACCACAGCGCTCCTTGCGCTAAAACCGGGGTGCCCCCCGCGGCGGGAGAGCAGCGA